GGGGGTACATCAAAGGAGGTCTTGCAGATGCCACAGAAGAACCGCATTCCAGGATTGGAAGGTGTTCAGAACCAGGGAGTGGATGTTCCACAGAACTCACACAGGGCCCATTAAAGGAGCAGACACGGTGTGGGTGCTACAGCAATGTAGACGGGGAGTGTGTCCAGGATGTTCTTCTTACACTCTCCGAAGCACAGCATGTCAGTAGGAACTGTGTCTGCAACAAGAGAGGCAGACTGCAGGTGGCTGTGGGCAGGCTCTGGGGGAAGACCCTGCACATAGCTGGCAAGTCAGATCAATGCCTTGGCCCCAGAAGTTCTGGCAAGAATAGACAGTCCCTGTGCACCAGGCTTGGCTTAACCCTGGAAGATGCTAGTGTTAAGGGCCCAGAATGGAAGATACTGAATGGCCAGGTCAAGTTTCTTCAGACCCAGGAACATATTCTACAGCCCATGATGTCCAACCATGGGTGCAGAGGTATCCTCAAAATAACGGTTTGATGAAGAACTGGAATAGGTGATGGAAACACCTATTTTAGTCAAATAAGGGGAGCTGAAGCCCTGAAGGACTGGTTATGTGGCTTCATGAATGTGTGCTCACACTCAACATGAAGGGGCTCCGGAGGCTCCCTGATGGATTCCTCAGCTTTTCTGGAGGATCTAGGAAAAGAGGGAATGGGAATAATGCTGGCATGATGATACTTTTCTTTTTCTTTTTCTTTTTCTGGCATATTGCCTCACCTTCTTTTGTCTTATCTGATTTAGGGGACAGGGGAACAGTGTTGCAACCACAGGTGCCAGAAGTAATTATGATCCCTAAGTATAAGAGTGCACACCTTTAACCCTTTATGTCAAATCTCTGAGGGCCTGATGGTTGGGTCTTCACCCATCTGCCAAAATTGGGTCAATAGTGAGTGCATGTGTTGATTGCCTTGTGATGAAGACAGCCTGCTAGCTGTGTCCCTGGAGACTTTATCCTATTCAAACAGGATGGACTGAGGGGGGAGGTACTTGCTAGATGAGCATTACTACCAGCAACCTGGGCCAGACAGTGGCTGAACTAGTATCCCTTCCAAAGGTGGAAAAGTGTGGGTACAAATGAAGAGGAGGAATAGAAGTTGAGGGTAAAGGAAATGGATCACACAATAAGGGAAATTCAGTATTACAATAACACCTTGAAAGATGCTTAGAGCAAGAGATGATGTTGTCTCATAGCTCTGACCAGATACTTGAGTGAATCCATGTGTTGGTAAGACCACTCCTATTTTGGGGACATGAAACATATGAACAGAGGCCTGCAAGCCGGAGTAGCCTCACTTCGGGACACATTTTAGTTAGACAATATGATGATGGATTGGACTCACTTAATGACTGAGGGGACTATGCAATGTGCCAGCACTTTTTGATTCTTATTTTTCAGGATACATCTACTGCCATACTGCAAGATGGTATAACACTGGCAGGTTATAACTCTGATATTGATAATTCAAAGTACTCGGAAATTGTGTTAGGGCCTCTTCTGTTTATTTTTATTTATTTTTTTTATGGTGCTGGGGATCAAACCCAGAGCCTCACACTTGCTAGGCCCGCACTCCACCACTGAGCTGCCCCCAAGCCTTTCATGTATTTTGAGACAGGGTCTTCTAAATCGCCCAGATTAGCCTTGAACTTAGGATGCTCCTGTCCCAGCCTCTGGGTAGATGGGAGGTACCGTGCCCAGCAACCACTATTGTTTAAGAGGATGTACAGAAATAGGAAGGCCTGACACTTTCTAGAAGTGACTTTTGAGCTCAGTTGGCAGAGGCAGGGAGATGGGCAAGGGCATAGCCTGTCCCATGGCATGGCAGGAGAAGTAGTTCCACCAGCTTGAACTTTGTCCTGAGGGTTATGGGAAGCCATTACCAGGCTTTCAACAGCGGCCTAGCCTGGGTAACTCCATGACTAAGGAATATTGCTGTTTGAGAAGAAGAGAGGATGAGTAATGTGGGAGAGACGGGGTTAGGCAGCTCAGGGAGAATGGGCAGGCCAGGCCCACAAGTTCCCTGCCCCCAAGCTACTCTCTGGAGGGACAGCAGGACAAGTCTTTGTATCCTGTTGGTAAGAGTGTGAGAGGATGGTAAAGGTGGAGCAGGCTGCCCTCTTCAGGGGGAACTGACTGGACCAAGAGCAGGGGGGGTCTCCTTCCCTCCAGGCAACCCAGTAGTGTTGACTATGACAGGCAGGCAAGGCTGGGGGTGGGAAGACACAGGGCAGGGGACCTGAGTTTCCCACTGTTCTTGCTGCACTGTTGAGCGCCAGAGGTAGTACAGGATGCTGGGGATCTAGGACAGAGGTTCTAGGACTCCTGAGGGGCAGGAGCATAGGCCTCCTCTGTTGGTCCTGGGTCCAGAAGGCACTAGCTCTCTAGCATTTTCTCAAAGTGGACCAGAAGGGCATTGGAGGGCTTGCGGCAGGAGATCTGTTGGTCCAAGCCCCATCCCTGCCCCTGTCATTCTCCCAGGAAGGTATTGTCCTGGCTGCCCTAGACCCATATTCATGGGAGGCCTGAGGCTAGGCTGACCTCAGCTTGCATGCTGTTCCCTAACTTGACTCTTCCCCAGGGCTTCTAGGATGAAGGCTGAAACTCTTCAACATGTCCCTTTACAGCCTCTGCCTCGCTTCCCTTGCCTTTTTCTTTCCCTGAGTGTGCTGGGAACTTTCCTCCGAGAACCTCCTTGCCCCAGTTCTGCCCAGACTCCAAGTGGGGCCTCCTGGGTGCCAGATGTCTGACTAGAAGTTTTGTAACTGCATCGTGGAGATGGTGTTTTTTGTTTTTATATTTTTAGTTGTAGATGGACACAGCACCTTTATTTTATGTATTAACTTTTATGTGGTGCTAAGGATCAAACCCAGTGCCTCACACGTGCTAGGCAAGTGCTCTATCACTGAGCCCCAGCCCCAGCCCCAGGATGGTGTCTTTAGTGAAATAAAACTGGTAACTCATTCACAAGCCTTGTGACTGCTTTCTTCAGATATGACTGATTGCAGACACGGGTTTAAGGAACCCATCAACCCTCTCTGGGCACAATCAGCCTATCCAAGTGTTGGCCTGCACCACATTCTTTGCTCTGTGTAGCCACACCGGCCTTGTCTCTGTCTGCCAACTGCTTCTTTTCAGCCTTTTGCACACGCTCTTCTGTCTGGTATTCTCTTTCATCCCTCCTGTATACAGATAATACCTATTTTTTCATTTCTCCAGGAAAACCTTCTCTAACCTCCTGGATTAGGTCAAATTGCTCCGTAGGCATGCCTCCAGCATTGTCTTTTCCTGAGAAGACCTGTTTAAGTTGGAACCCTGCCTTTATGAGTAAATTGGTCTCTCTCCCTGTCAAGCCTATGAACTCTACAAAAGCCCACTGTTGTGCTCTCCCAACCACTGTGCCACCCCAGGACAGTGCCTGGTGTCATTTAACCACTCAGCAAATATTTGAGAGTGAATGGACCATGGATATGAGGATGGATGGTCCCAGGCAGCAGTTCTTGTCTTGAGCAATTGGAGATTCCTGGTAGTGACTCTAGAGAACCTCCAAGAAACTGAGGCTTGACTCACAGGTGCCTGTGTTTACCTAGGGATATCTCTTTTTGGTGTAATTACCCTCCTCCTTTTCTGTTTGCTCATGCTTGACAGTAATGCCCCATCCTGTTTAGAGCTGCTCTCACCTTCCTGTCCCATAGGTGTGGCTACACCTGAGCTGGTAGTGGCCCAAGAGGCACAGCAAAAACTCCAGAAGGTTAAAGTCACTTTCCAGAAGGGTTCATAAGCCCTGAGGATGCATATGCCTATATTCTCAGCCTACATTCCCAGATACTCAGGAGGCTGAGGCAGGAGAATGACAAATTTGAGGTCAGCCTTGGCAATTTAGCAAGATCCAGGCGATGGATGGGGACATAGTTGACTGGTAGAGCGCTTTGCCTATCACTTTCCAGACCACACCAAAGGGGTGGGGGAGGGCTCATGGACTCTGAGAAAGGCAACCAGAGAGAAAGAAGAGGTCTTAGAAAGCGGTGGCTGCTTCATACTTGGCACTGTATAGGCATTGGCTCTGATCCTCCACAACCTCTGTTGCAGGGCCTTCGTGTCACACACAACTAAGTCAGCAGTGATAGGAGAGGAGCCCTATCCCGCCGATTCCAGAACCCAGGGTTCCCTAAAAAGCCAGACGGCATGTTTCCAGGATATGGCCTGGCTTGGGACGCTTTCATCCTCCTGACTTTTCGTGGCAACATAGCTTCCCTGCAGTCGAGGTGGGGGAACTGGGAGATTATTCCCATTCGACACGATAGGAAGCTGAGGCCCCACCGGGCCCAGGGGGGCCAGACCGCAGGCAGGCGTAGGAACAGTACAGCCGGGTTCGCCCCGCCTCCGCCAGCGCCTGCGCAACGCCGCCTTGTTGCCGCTCAACCCCGCCCCATCGCCTGGGTTTTCAAATTTGAAACCTGCTTCTTTTCCCGCCCGAACGTGTAAACCAGCAGCGGGAGAGGGCGGGGCCACGCGACAGCCAATCGTGTCTCAGAGGCTCTCCGGTCCCACCCAGAAGGTGACGACAGCAAGCCTAGGCCAGAAACAAGCGAATGGACTAGCGGTTGCTGGCTGGCCCAGCCCCCGCGGCGCCCACGTGCAGCGCCAGAGCCCGGGCCTCCTGGGGAGCGATTGGCCCTGCAGCACCGTATACTGTGTGAAGGCTCTCTGCCTGCATGGGGCTGGTAACGCCAAGGAACCGCGGGGTCGCTGAGATAAGAGAACAAGACGCAGGACCCTGGCCCAGGGGTCCACCCAAGGACCAGGACTGGAGCCGGCGCCAACTCCTGCCCCGCGAGCGTCCCTGGCCACTTGTGGGCGGGCAGGTTCGCAGAGGGTGGGAGTTTTCCAAGGAGGCGGTCCCAATGAATGGGCGTTCCCAAGGGCGGGGCATCCTGGGGGCGGGGCCGAGCGCCTGTGTTTGTTGCCCTGTGTCAGTTACATTGTAACAAAAGTGGTGGGGCCGCCGCTCTGGCCAGCACCCTAGGCCCGCCCGCCATCAGCTGTCGCCGACATGGAACCTGTGGCTAGCAACATCCAGGTCCTGCTGCAGGCGGCTGAGTTCCTGGAGCGCCGTGAGAGAGGTGAGGAAGAACTCTGGGCTAGACTCCTGAAGGAGACCTCACTGACATGGGCCTGGACGACTTGGCATGCAACTTGAACGATGCACATTAGGGCAATAATCCACCCTCAACTCAGAGGAGTTCGCGGGCGGTCGGGTAGGGAAGGGTTGGGGAGATGGTCTCGGCGCCAGAAGCCCTTCCTTGACCCTGATGTGCCAGGGGCCCCTTCCAGTCCTAGCTTGACACGGGCGGGCTCTGCCTCTTTCTGGCAGAGGCAGAGCATGGCTACGCGTCCCTGTGCCCGCATCACAGTCCGGGCCCCATCCACAGGAGGAAGAAGCAACACCCGCAAGCTCCCGGAGCTCTGGACAGTGGGCGGTAAGGAGGGTGCAGGCGTCGGGGGTGGTGTAGGGAGGGTGGATGGGCACTGTCCTTCTTCGGTCTTTCCTCTGCTCATTTTCTCGTTTGCATCTTATAGATTAGGTACCCAGATCCGGGAAGCATTCAAAGCTCTCCTGCCATCTGTCCCCTCCCCATACACCTTTTTGTGAATTCAAGGACTACTTCAGGACCTTTGATGTGACAGGAACTGTGAACAAGATAGTTCTGGGTCCTGTTTCCACTCACACATCAAACCACTCTCTTCTCCACAGGCTTATTTCTTTACTGTTGTACTTCAACACTCTGCATACACTGCTTCGTCCAGTTCGAATGCCTTTCCCTCCATTGCCCTGTGTGGGAAACTCTGTTTTGTGCTCAGTTCACCTGTCATCTCTGTCCAGGAAACCTTTCTTGCCAGGATGGCAGGAGAGCCTCATTTGGACAACCACCTGGCAGGCCTCTCACAGCATTTGTCTGTGTATCTCTGATTCCTCTCACCCCTACCTGGGGGCTCTGGTGCCCAAGACCAGACCAAGGTCCCCACAAGAGGGTTGACTGAGGCAGACATTTGTAGTAGATTTTTGAGTCACAGGGGGCCCTGGGCTAAGGGTGTGGGCTGTAGTTGACAGCCCCTCACCTCATCCTCCCTGGCATTGACAGGTCTGTGCACAACGAGCTGGAGAAGCGTAGGTGAGTCCCACCCCAGCCCTGACAGCACCAGGTCCCAGGAACTACCTCTGTCTGGCCTTGCCTTCCCTGCTGTCCTTCTGGCTGGTGAGGTGGGGCTGGCACTGCCCTCCAGACCCCTTCCCCCACAGGAGGGCCCAGCTGAAGCGATGCCTGGAGCAGCTGAAGCAGCAGATGCCCCTGGGGACTGACTGTGCCCGATACACCACACTGAACCTGCTGCGTAGAGCCAGGATGCACATTCAGGTAAGTGGGGGGGGGGGCACCCTGTGTCCCCAGGTGTGACATGGGAGGCCTGGGTGGAACTAGGGAAAAGGGCCAAACATAGTCCAACTATGTGACTGGGGACAGTTCTCTGTGCTTTTAGTTTTCTAATCTATTAAATGGGAAGGAAAGCAAAAAATAGTTCAGAGGGTTGTTCTGAGGCTTCAGTGAATTCACCCTGTAAATGTTCATTGTTGTTACAGCTATTACTACTTAGATTCCAGCCTGGAGACCTTGAGCAAGTCACTTGGCTTGTGTCTGGACTTCTGCTTCCTCCTCTGGTGGGGAGGGAATTGCTGTTGAAAAAATTTCTATGATAAATCATATGTAATGGTCCCTTAGATTGCAGAGGGTTGGTTTCCACTCTCCCCTGTTCCTATCCTTCAAGACCTGCTGTTCTAGGCTATCTATCCAAATGCTACCCTGTGAGGCATCCACTCCAGAATTCAGAAGGGAGAAGGGATTAAGGGAGCTAATCATTGGGCTTCCTAGGGCCCTTGCTACTGCCTGGGCTGAGCTGTCTGCCCCCTAGTGGTCAGGAGTTAGTGTGCAGGTGCCAAGGCCCAAGCAGCCCCAGGGATGCCCATATTAGAAGCAGCCTTGGAAACAATAGAGGATTTTTCCTGTCCTAGCTCTTTTGACAGGCGAAGAGAAGGAGGCACAGCAAAGTTATGTGCTGAGGAAAGACAGATCCAGGCCCAGGCCCCCTCATTTGCATTCTTTCCTTCAACAGATATTTATTGAGCATCTGCTGTGCCAGGCCCTATTGTAGGCACTGGACACTGTGGCAGACAGATCCAAGTGCCATCCAGCAAATAAATCCCAGATGTAAGAAGTATTCACACTGCCCCATAAGTGCCTGTTATCACCTTCACTGTGGCTGAGTAATACTCTGGTTGGCTAATGGGTCCCCGTTTACCACATGGTGCTTTCCTGGCCTAGTTTCTTGGTAGATGATATGTCCATGGGCAGGTCCTGGGAATCATTCCATCCTTGAAGCCTCATCACCCCTCTTCTGGACTAATTTATGCACACCTCTTCACTGGCCTCCCTCTTTCCTATATGGCCTCTACCAGACTGTCTTTTTCTTTGCCTTAGAATGATCTTGGCCATACACAGATGTGCCCAGGCCCATCTCCAGCTGAAAACCTTGACAGGGATCCCAACAAAACAAAGCCTCAGTTCCTTACTTATTATGATTCTCAAGGCCCTCTCCAACCCAGGACTTATCATGACTGCTTTTTTGGACTGGTCTCTCCCCAATCCCCCAAAGAAAAAGACACACTTTCCATGCTTGCCAGGCTCCTCTGCCATGGTGTCTCCCTACCCCCATCTTTGGGTAACTCCTACACATCCTTCTATACCCTGTCCCTTATTGGGTTTTTTGTTTTGTTTTTTTAGTTGCCAATGGGTTTTTCACTTTATTTGTTTATTCATACATATGTGGTGTTGAGGATCGAACCCAGGGCCTCACACATGCTAGGCAAGTGCTCTACCACTGAGGCACAGCCTCAGTCCATCTGCCCTTATTGTTAAAAGACTAAATCCAGTCCTCTGCCCATCGAGGATTGGGCCCTTGGACTTCCAGATTCTGAACATTAGGGCTGACAAAACTCATGTAGGGATGAGGGGAGGAGGTTAATGCTGAAGCCTTAGGGCCCCAGGAGGATCCTGACCAGGAATTGCAAACTGATAGCCTTTGTTTAGTCTAAGTTTTCTCACAATTTAAATTAGTTGGCAACATTTCAAAGGGCATTTGACATGAAAAATCTGGCTTTCCATCTTCTCTTAAAGAAATGGGGAGATCTGGCAGTGCTGGGCCTGTTGCCATGTGGCAGCAATGGGCTGGAACCTGGAGGTGGCTGCCTCCTCGAGTGAATGTGCACTTGCCAGCCCACAAGGGTGTTTGGGATTAGCGTGTCTCCCACGCCATGCCCATCTAGACCAGAGCACAGATGGGTGAAACACAGGAGAGAGCTGCTTTCTGAGGACATTCAACAACCCTCTGGGGCCCAGGTTTATGTGCCTGCCTGTTTGGAGTAGGGAGAGGTACACGTGGCTGTAGCCCACTGCCAAGTGGCACATGGGCAAAGTTCACGTTTTGGGATGCTGACCCCAGCCCCTGTTCCTACCGTCTCTACAGAAGCTAGAGGAACAGGAGCTGAGGGCTCGGCGGCTCAAGGAGAAGCTGCGCAGCAAACAGCGGAGCCTGCAGAGGCAGCTGGAGCAGCTCCGGGGGCTGCCAGTAGGTGAGAGGTTGCGAGCGGATAGCCTGGACTCTTCAGGCCTCTCTTCTGAGCGCTCGGACTCAGACCAAGGTGAGTGGCTTGAAGCCTAGGGCCCTGGGCAGTGTGGGTGGGCCAGGGCTTTTGACTGGAACCCTCCTTGTGCAGAGGAGCTGGAGGTGGATGTGGAGAGCCTGGTGTTTGGGGGTGAAGCCGAGCTGCTGCGGGGCTTCAGCGCGGGCCAGGAGCACAGCTACTCGCACAGCACCTGTGATTGGCTATGATGCTCACTACTCTGATTGCCTTCTACTCACACTGGGCTGAGCCCACCAGGCAGCCCAGAGGGCTACTCAGAGGCATCAGTTGGAATGGACTAAAAGGACCCTCGTGTGGGAACAGGTACTCCCCGTAACCTGCTACTGGCTGCCAGGCAGTCCCCACCGGTTGGGAGGAGGCACCCAGAGCTCTGCAGGGCAGGCAGCTTGGGCCTGGGCTGCCTTTCCAGGCGTTTTTGTAGCACTTGGCTCTGCTGCTCCAGAAGGGGCAGGAAGCCTCTTGGACCCTCTTATTCCTGAATAAGGCCTCTGGCCTTTGCCCTACATATACTGTACAGTATTTTCATTAAAAGCATCTTTCATAATTTCCCGTCCATGGTCTTGCCTGATAAAAATGGAGGAAGTCACAACCACAACTAGAAAAGAGGAAATAAGATCAGCAGCTGCCACCACCATCCTGAGTGGTGTACTTGATCCTCACAACCTGGAGGCTGTCCTGTCTGGGCTTTTAGGGTGGTAGGACTGAGGCCTGGTGGTGTGACTTGCCTGAGTTCCAAAGCCAGGAAACAGTGGTCAAGATCCATACTAAAGCTTTCTGACTCCAGAGCTGAGGCTGATTAAATTCAACATATATTTATTGAGTGCCTATTATGTGCTAGATATTTTTCCAGGTATTTGGGACACATCAGAACAAAACAAAGAGCCCTGCCCTCTTGGAGCTTACAGTCTATTGTTTATCAACAATCCCCCTGCATACTGCCTGTGACCTTGAGCAAGTCCCCCCCCATACCTCTGCCCCTCTTTGTGCCTGTCATCAGCTGCCCAATGGGAGAATAAGCAGACTGGGCTCAGATATGTGCCTGTACTGCAGATGCTGAACAGGACACCCGTCCCAACCCACCACCCAGACAGCAGAGAGGGCTAGAAGTTGATTTTTAATAATCAAGTACAATGAAAGGGTGCGGAGGGAGCCCACAGCCGGCTGGTGGGCTGTGGCAGTGGCAGGGGCCCAGCCTGGCTACACAAACTGCTGCTGCTGCTGCTGCTGCTGCTTGGTGGCAGCCTTGCTGGCAAGGTCCTTGGCTTTCTCTGTAGCTGCCAGTGCTGTCTCCTTTGCCTTCTCCTTGGCTTCCTTGGCTGTCTCAACAAGTGTTTTGGAAGGGGCCTCACCTAGAATAAAGGGCAGGAGGCTAGCTTCATATGGTGCTGAGAGGCCCCACCTAATTACATTCCCCAGCCATGCCAGTTACCTAGTAGAGGCCTGACCCCTTTGGAAAGGTGACATTTGCTACCTGGTATAGATTAAGTCTCAGGCTCAGAGCAGGGTAATGATTGGTCCAGGGTCTATGAAAGTCAGGCTGAGCTAGGATCTGACCCAGCCTCTCCTGATGAGCTCCCCCCAACAGCACCCAGAATTCTCACCTTGCAACTTGGCCAAGATGTATTCAAAACCCTTCATAGTCTTGGTCACATTGCTTTTGAACCGGGCGAGACCAAATTCCTGGCAAAAGATTGAGGTGGGAAGGACTGGTAACTGGCCACTAACTTCTGCCCAGCCTCCATGCCAACAGCCTCAGGCCCTAGAAACCCCACAACATTGCTTACCTGGACAGCTCTAGAGACACCAAATAAACTAGAGGAGACCCAGGCTTCCCGGCGGATTTCGGTCCAGCCACTGTTGTCAGAGTTCACACGGTAAACACATCGTTCCTCCACCACCTGTGTGGAAAGGTAGGCCACCCACATTGCAGGGACATCTTTTGCTTTACCAACCTACACACAGACTTGATCCCCCACTTCTTTGTTATATTATTGCCCAGGTTGGCCCTGAACTCTTGGGCTCCAGTGATCCTCCCACTTTGGCCTCTTGAATAGCTGGAACTAAAAGCATGTGCCACCACACTTAGCTGAAGCCCTGCCTCTTTTCACAAAAAGAAGCCATGAAATGAAAATCCATTCCTTCCTGTTATTGCATCCCCAACACCATTTTACCCTGTAAACCCCTTTCCTGACCCTTAAAAACACTAGAAGGCATGAGGTCTCTTGGGAGCAGCAGAGGGCTTTCTATCCTGGGACCCTGGACTATTTGGGGCCTTTATATCTAGGTACATGTGGTGTTTTTAACTCAAATTTCCATCCACTGCAGTTCTTGAGCTTTCTGACAGTCCAAATACAAATAGATGCCTGATAGTCATCACAGCTTTCATTAACAGAAAGGAGAAAGTGGATTTCTACTTCCAGAATAATACTTAATGACACTTTTCATGAATGGATTGCTGTTTTGGTCATTACCAAGTAGCACCCTCATGCAGTCATGTGAGATGACTTGCACTGGGCAGAGGAAGGTAGTCACTCACTTTGTGACACTGTAGGACACGTCCCTTCTCTGAACCTTTCATCTTGGCATAAATGAGTAATATGTACCTCTCAAGGGTATCATGAAAGTAAGCTGAGAAGAATAATTTTCTGAAAGTTTGCAGGGTATTCACATGTGAAAAGATGCAGTGGAATGGTTCCTTTAACCATAACTATGGGTTTTCAAGCTTTTATTTATTTATTTTATTTTATTTTTTTGTAAAAAATTGTAGATGGACAGAATGCCTTTATTTTATGTTTATTTTTATGTGGTGCTGAGGCTTGAATCCAGTGCCTCCCGTATGCTAGGCAAGCGCTCTGCCATTGAGCTACAGTCCCAGCCCCGGTTTTCAAGCTTTTAAAGAGGTATGTGGAACTCCATTGCCCCAAATCTCAGGCAGAGATCCCTTTATGAGAGATAAATGTGGAATGTCTCCAGTCAAAGCGAGGTAAAGGGCTTAGAATGTCAACTGCTGAAGCACATCCAGGGCACCTTTGGGCTTAATGGACTTCTATGTGAAAACTGCTACCTTCCTCCCTCAGCATCACTTCTGTGGGCCCAACCGGAGTGTGTGTCACACATTACATAAATGTTTGTGTTTAGTACCTACAACAACTCTGTAAAATGAGCACTTCCCTCCCCCATGAACGAGTCAAAGGACAGGTCCAGAGAGGCTGACCAGCTGAAATAAAGAGATAATCTGAGGTTGTACCCTGTAGCCATTGCTCCACAGTAACCCAATCATGCCCCAGTCTCTCATGACTCTAGCCATGTACCTGAGGAGCAGTCTACTTTTGTGGGGATCAAGAGCAGTCTCACCATCAGCCGGGCATGGTTGATGTTCCAGGTGAAGGTGGTCATGGTCTGATTCTGTGGGTCCACAACAGAGTCCTCCAGGATGTACACCGAGTGAGCAACATTGGCAGGAAACAGTCGCTCTGCCCAGCGGGGCATCCTGTTGGTCTTGGTAAGGAGTCTCCGGGACAGGAGCTTCTGGTCAGGGGTCACCTCCCGGTGTACTATGTCTTCAGTTAAGACATGTTTGCTGCAGGTGTCAGTGAAGGGGGACCCTTAGAGAACTGCCCCCCCCCAACAGACCGTCTATTGGGGTTCCTGTTGGGAGCCTCTCTCCTTATCTTCCTGCAATCTTGCAGAGTGATTTGTGCTGTAATTCAGAACTAAAAGTACCTTGAACCTATCCTAGGGCAAATTCCAACTCCCGCCTCCTCCCTGAGGTGAATTCCTGGGCCTTGCAACGGGGGTGGCTTCAGGTCTGGCAAATGCCCGGATTTCCAACCCAAGTTCTCTCCCAACTACTGTGCCGCCGCCTGTTCCTAACCTCAGCACCTTAAGAACCTCAGACTACAGCCTCAAGTAAATCATCACCCAGGACCAGCCTCCTTCCAGGATCTGCAGGCGCGGCCTGGCCGCTTCCCCGATAAGGTCTCCTCCGTACCCTAAGGACCGCCACGGTTCCGCAGATCCCTCATGTCAAGACTCTAGTCTTTTCTGGTCCCATTACTGAGGGGCTGCCCACACTTCGATCTCCAAATAGCAAGGCGAGAAGGAGGTCTGCTTTTCCCTGGCTCACGTACCTATAGGGATTCGGGTACCGCTGCCAGAAGGCAGCGAACACTTGGTCCCAGGAACTTCGGAGCACGCTCTGGCCCAGGAAATACTTCACCATCGTCCCGGCTGGGGCGGGCTCAGCACCCGCGCAGCATCAGGGGTGCAGAGCCCGGGGGGCACGCGGAGGCCGGGCCGGGGCTCGGCGCACGCCCGCCAGGCTCGCAAGTCAGTGACCACTGCGCCGCACCCAAATCGCTGCTACTGCCGCCATGAGGGATTGTACAGCCGCGCACCACTTCCGGCGCCGCCGCTCAGTCTCGCTGCTTCCGGTCCGTGCCACGTGACCTGGCGACCCCGCCCCCTCCCGCCCCTCCCGCGGGAGACGCGGTGCTGCGGATTGGAACAGGGTTGTGGGAGACCCCAAGTTCGGCTGTGAATCTGGGCGGAATCGAAGCCTAGGCAGCAGTGCAGCCTAAGCCGCTCGGGCAGGCGTGCGAGCAAGCGAGCGAGAGGGCTAGGGAGTGACGAGCGACGAGCTGCACCGCGGCGTGCGGCGCCGTGGAGGGCGCTGCCCGCGCGCTCCCAGGCCGCCACGGCCCTGGGGTGTCTTGGAGGAACACTCGGCGCCCGGGGCCGGTTTGGCCGGGCCATTCAGGGGCGCTGTCGAGGTGCGAGGCGCTTGGGGTCGGGGTCTGAGGCTGGGCGGAGCGGACCCTTACGTGGGTGAGGCTGCCCGGGGAGCATGAGCGGGCAGCGCGTGGACGTCAAGGTGGTGATGTTGGGCAAGGAGTACGTGGGCAAGACAAGCTTGGTGGAACGATACGTGCACGACCGCTTCCTGGTGGGGCCCTATCAGAACGTGAGTGTAACCCTTCCAGCCCGGCACGAGTGGGAGGCAGCCAGCCTGCACCTGCGGCCCTGATCTCTTCCCCTTAATTGCAGACTATCGGGGCTGCATTCGTGGCCAAAGTGATGTCGGTTGGAGACCGAACGGTGACTTTGGGTATTTGGGTAAGTCCTGTGGCCATCTGCTATTGGGGAAAACCACTGCTAAGGCGGCCTGGGTCCTGATCTATCACTGGCTAGCTGGAGGCCTCGTAGAGGCCATTTCTTTTCTCCAGACCCCAATTTCCTCACCTAGAAAATGGGGATCTGGAGGACACAGGCTTAGTTTTCAATCTTGGGAAGTAGCCCAGTTAAGTAACTCCGGCCAGGGCTGGGCCTTCCTCTGCCTTTCAGGACACAGCAGGCTCTGAGCGCTATGAGGCCATGAGCAGAATCTACTATCGCGGGGCTAAGGCTGCCATCGTTTGCTACGGTATGGGGGTTCTGGGCTCTTCTTTATGCAAGGGTTGGATGACAGGCTGGCCTCAGAACAGCCCTTGATCCGTGCTTGTGTTTCCTGCATGCTCCATACCAAGACCTCACTGACAGCAGCAG